AGGCTCTTTGCACTTGCTGTTCTGTCTTTCTAGAACACCATTCCCCCAGATCTGCACAGGGCTGGCTCTTTCATCTTATTTAGGTGCCTGCCCACATGTCACCTCCTGTTACATGACATAGTACCTGACACATAATACGTGTTTTAAAATAAAATGTAATGGGGCACCTGGGTGGCTCCATCGGTTAAGCATCTGACCCTTGGTTTCAGCTCAGGTCACAATCTCACGGTTTTGGGGATCGAGTCCTGCGTCGGGCTCTGCACTGACAGCATGCAGCCTGCTTGGGATTCTCTCTCCCTCTCTTCCTCTGACCCTCCCCTGCATGCACTTTCTCTGTCTCTCAAAATAAATAAATACAATTTAAAAAAATAATAAAATAACATGTTGAATACTGGTTGAATTGAATATTCTTTTCTTCCTTGAATATAGAAAACAGTATCTGATTCATATTCTTCAGTGCAGAAAAAAAGCATTTAATGCACATGGCACATGTATGGCTAATAACCTTACTGCTAGCTAAATCTTATCCTATGAGGGTTACAACAGCACCTTTGTCATGAGGCACAGGGCATTCGTGAAGAGGCAGCTTCCACTACAAAGACTCGGGAGAGCCATGGAATGTGTCACCGTGAAGGGAAACACGGGGCCGCTCCCTTGCACTGACATTGGCACTGATTACTCAGCTCACTGCAAGCCTGCCTGCTGGCCCCGATAAACCCTGTCACTAGACTGAAGTAGCAGGGACATTCCAGGATCCACCGCCTTTAAGATGCCATAAAAATTAATGATTTTTGAAGCTGAACTAGCACCTGGGAAGGCACAGGCACAACTGGTGACCCAGACCCCACAGTCTCAGGGGATTCAGAGGCTCAAAGTGGGTCCCTGTCACTGGGAGTCCTGCTCACTCTTACTCTAAGTGGGTATTTATAATTTTTTTAAATATTGTATTTATTTTTTGAGAGAGAGAGAGAGAGAGAGAGAGAGAGGGAAGGAAAGAGTGTGAACGGGGGAGGGGCAGAGAGAGAGGAGGACAGACAATCCAAAGTGGACCCTGTGCTGATAGGCTGATAGCAGCCAGCCCGATGCGAGGCTCGAACTCACGAACCGTGAGATCATGACCTGAGCCAGTCGGATGCTCAACTGACAGAGCCACCCAGGCTCCTCAAGTGGGTATTTATGACAAGTCAACTTCATGTTTTTAAAAGTAGAATTAATGAAATGACATTATTTAATTAAACATGCATACTCCACCCTCTTTCCACAAAAGACTTAAAGCAGCTCTTAAAGATACAGAATGTTCAATAAAAGTAGGCCAAAAGATCAAGGCCAGAGAAAATGAGGGCAGAAGCAGCCTGGGCAGCTGGTCCCCAGAATAGCATCTCTCAAATGGGAGCTCCAGAAATGGCCCTGTCAGAGTGCCCTGTCCTGGCTGTGACAGAATGAGGGACCTTGGGATCTGGCCTGGCCTCATGACCATGACCATTCAGAGTGGGAAAGAGGCCAGGCCCCAGAAGGCCTGCAGGCTGCTGCAGTAAATGAAACACCATCGTTTGTAAACCTCTCAGTATGACCAGCTCAGTGCTTAGTCCGTCCCCTTAGTCAGACTTCATGAGGATGTAATAAGGGATGGACTATTGTCCCCATGTGCCAGGACAGAATACTGAGGCTCACAGAGGTGAAGTGATTTTCCCTACAACCAAAAGGTCACAAAGTCCTCAGAGGATTCCAGGGCAGAGGCTGAAATCAATTGAGGCACTTGATGAGCAATTATGACTTGTGATTCTCACCAAGGTCCTGAATTTACTCAGCAACCAATCTAGTCCAACACCTACTTTATGCCAGGCTCAGACTGGGCACCAATGATACAGGAAGGAGCAAGACCCAATGCCCTTAAGGAGCCAGTGATGTGGGAAGGGCACAGATAATCATGCCGGAAGACAGGCTGCGAAGCATGTAGGTGCAAAGGGGAGGCCCTGCCCACTGCCAGGGGGCTATGCCCAATGGGCACCTTCTCCAGGAACAGCGAGGGTAGCCTCCAGAGCCTTGAGGTACTCAGGGACCCTGCAGCACTAGATGACTGGTCTGGGGACAGACTCCTGGTCTAAGCCAAGCCACTGAAATTCTCACATCTGGGAATGTGAAGCCCAGACAGAAAAAGAGGAGCAGAAGCTGGGAGTCATCAGGGCAGAAGCGTGGAACTGTCCACAAAGTCCCTGAGGCTGCCCTGAGGTTGCCCAACTCAGAGGTCTTTTCCTGTCCATTCCTGGGCAGTTCAAAGGGCAGATATCCAAAGTCTGTGCCAGTGGAGAAAAGCCCCTTCTCTGAGCTGTCCTCCCTGCACCTCACCCTATTCCTCCAGCCAATCCCCCAATCCAGAAACCAAAGGGTTAACACCCGGCACAGCAAGTGGCCTCTACCCTTGCCCTAGTCCTAAGGCCAGTTTAGGTCTGGTCATTAAATATTTTGCTTTGAGACCCTTCCTGTACATCCCTCTTCTCAGTTTGAGTGAGGCAGTGGCAGTGCCCAATACAACCAGAAACCCGTCCTCACACACCAGGAGAGGTTTCACAGAGGAGGCAGCTTCTCAGGGGAGCTCCTGAGGAGCTGTAGGAGTGGGTCACACAGGGACGGGGCAAGCAAGCTAAACAGCAGGTACACAGGCTTGCAGGGGTGGGGGGGGCGGCAAAAGGTGGGTTGAGCAGTACAGAAGACCCCAGGGGAAGGGTTGGCACAGAAGGCTAGAGACTGGGGGAAGAAAGCCAGTGACTGCATGGCCTTCTGACAGGGCCCAGCCTCAACCCTGGGGCTCTACCAACTCACGGGACACTGGGACATGCACCCATGCTTGCTCAACACACAACAGACGACACAAGTGCCCAGGCTGTGAGCTTTGTGACCTCCAGCAGGAAAGGAGAAAGTGCATGGAAGCCTATAGTCATATGGTATTTCATGATGTGTTTACATCGAATGGTTCACTCCCTCTTCCCCATGATCTTGGACAGTGAGAAGCCTGGAGGCGCAAAGAGTTAACCTGAAACCCCTGGCTCCACACCGCCATCCACCAGAAAGAACAGGCCTGGCTGCAGACAGGCAAACCCATGGTTCTGCCAGAGCAGCCCTGCCCCAGGCAGGCTGGCACCCAGAAGCATTCCATCCAAATAACGTCTTCCCCACTGGGCACTGCCCTCCATCTCCTCTGCTCGTTTAGTGAGTCTCAAGCCATGTGGTGTGCCCCCAGACACATTTGCAGAGGCCCAGCTCGTCATTTCATTAAAAAAAATTTTTTTTAATGTTTTGTTTATTTTTGAGAGAGAGAG